CTTTTATCATTTCAATTTTATTATTTTATTTTGTTTTTTTGTATATTTACATTTTTTGCAATTGTTTGCACGCATAATTTTTGCTCAAACACCTTAATGCCGTGTCTTGCAATCAGCCGCTTGCCATTTGAATAACCAGTTCAAGTTTCAAATCAAATATTAAGTATACGCAGTGGTGACCTTTTGTTCGTTTGCCCTTCACTGATTGCCTTTAGTGTATTTGTAATATCGTGAACACACAACACGCACGTTATATTTGTAACTGAAGTTAAAAATTTATGCATTTATGTAAGTGATAAAGCTATCGCTATCATTATCATATTTAATAATGGCGTTGGGAGAACAAAATAAAATTTATTACTCATACGCCGTGTATACCGCACGCTCTTATTTCACTTCGATTCGTTTGTAGTATGTGCGAAATTAAAAAAACGATATAACTTAATTATGCATAAAACAACACTTAATTAAAATACATTTACTGCCTTAGCATTATGTACATACATACACTATTGTATAAGTAATGTATAAATTATTATTGTTTAGTTAGTGTCATTTTAAATTATATTGTAATTAAATGTATTGTATACCGTAATGTAACAAATTTGTATGCTTAAAGACTTAAGTGCGAACGATACAATATTAAATTAAGTATCTATAGCTACAAAATAAATCACAACAATAAAGATAAAGTATATACATATGTATGTAAATGTGTTAAGTCAAAAGAGAAAAGATGAAAAAAATAAATACATCTAAATAAAAGCAAGACGTTTGATTCTTATATATTACCACACTTTTCCCTTTAGACTTTTCGCTTTCATTTACTCCACATTTCAATTTCAATGCAATTTGAGGAAATTAAAATTAATTTGCATAAGCCGCATCGAAATTCCAATTGGAAAAGTTGTCAGCAAATGACGGTAAAGATCAAACAATCGTTAAAACAAATAACAACAACATAAGTAACAACGACACAATGACGTAACAACTGGAAAACCAACTAGTGTAGGCTTACGACAACAACAACAACAATATATATTTTACGATTGTAACAACTGAAAAAACAACTACACGAAATTCATAACAAACACAACCAAAAATTAACGCTTACAACAACAACACAAAATATTTTACGCTTGCGGCAAATGTAAGAACAAATAACAAAAGCAACAACAAACACAACAAATATTTTCCGTACGCAACAATCCTGAAAACGAAGAGAACAGAAAATATTTTGGACTTTTTACAACGCTGACAGCAATTGAAAATAGCGAGTTTTCACAGGAAACACAACAGCAGTGCGAGCACAGCATACCGTCGCTACTGTAGTAAGAAAAATCTATAGATCTCAAGTACTTGCAAGCGCAAGCGCCAAGGAAACGGAGTTGACAACAAGTGAAAAGCAGCCTTAACCGCAAAAAGTTACGATTCGTAAAATATGCAAAAAATATAACAGCAAAAAATTACAAAATATTTGCAGTCCAACCATAACACAACAACTACACGCACACTTTCCCCGCCAGTTACAACACCAGCATCCAACACATATACATACATATATGTAAATGTCAGCAATGTGAACTGCTGCCACACGGCATTTTACATTTATTTCGCATATTTATTCTGTTTATTTTCATTGTTACCTGTCCTTTCTGCGCCACTTTCACTTCCCAAGCATTCAATTATGTTCGCCCCATCCCCATTTAAATGCCTTCGAAGCCAACACAACCAACAAAAAGGTGAACAACCACTTGCTTGTGTAAATGTGTGTATGTATAGTTAACGGCATGTGTTGTTTGGCTGCTTTGCCGGCGTGCTCGCATACAAAAGTCGTTAGGGATTGAGCGGTAAACGACGAGGATAAACACTTTTTTAATCTCCCTAACAACGTGTAACGTACAAACAGCAGTGAAAAGAAAACCTCAGAACAGCAGACTGACCCATGACAACAACATCCATAATCATAACAACTAAACAAGCATTGTAACAATAATAAAATTCGCCATAATGATCATTTGCCTTATGAGGGCCAGGCTATAACACCGCACACCACACTCTCTTTCTCACACACACTCACGCAAAGAGTCGCAAATAGAGACAACTGATTAAGTATATATATTATATATATTTACTATATATTTGTATGTATGTATGTAAGTCTGTAAGATGCCTTCAGTTATGATACGCGTCCGGCATCTCTCAAAAATGTGTCGAACGACAGTTGACGTCTCGAAAATGTTAATCTTCTGTAATGAATGCCATGCACATTTTGGCAAAGGATCAGCCCAAAAATACACTAACTCATAGCGGCTACAATTGTGACATGCGCCAAGTAAGGGCTCGCATATAAAATATCCACAAACACACAGCCATTAATATAAAAAATATAGACATATACATATACAAAAATATATAACCCTGCCGCTGTTTGCTGCTTGCAATGCCGACGCCAACGCCGCTGACAACGCAAAGCATGTGTTCGCGTCCATAAACTTGTCGACTTTTTAGGAAAGAGTTTTTTAAAGCAACGTTGCTATTGTTGTTGTGATTTCTGCCTTTATTTATCTTTCTCTTATTCACCTTGCTGTTTGTTTTTGTTCTTGCGGGCGAAAGATGCACTGAAAGGATGTGACAGCGCGGCGTCAACTTGTATATATACAAATATACATCATTACATACACACATACACATTCACATGTAACTATGTAGCAACATGAAAACATTGCATCAAATTAGTGAGCAACATTTAAATTGGAGATTTCCTATGCACTGACATACACGCACACACTTGTTTATTGTCAGAATTCTGCTCCATGTACGCTCTCAGTTTGAGACTTTTGCTTGCAATTCATACTGCGCATGTTCTATTGTAAAACATACCAAGCATAAATGGGAAGAGATGTAGCTCGACATGCTCTTTATTTGCGAAACAGTGGACTTTTTCACAAGAATATGAAAGAAAAAAAGTTTTCGAAAATATGCAAGGGGTTCTAAAAGCCTAAAAATAAAAGTTTATTTAATCTATACATATTTTTTTAACTCTATGCAATAATATATTTTATTTTCATGAATATTATATACAGACCCGATGAGAGAGATGGTCGGTCGTGATTTCCCCTGTATTTTCATATAAAAGTAGTGATATGTGATTGATACGAACATTTATTTAAACATTGTGACTAAAAATTGTAGATTGCCACGAAAAAAATTACAAACAATCTTCCCAGACCGTCTTTGTACCACTTGTATTCTTTTGTTTTTGTTAAACCTGAATCCCGGTAAGCCCTTTCTAACATTCGCAACGATTCAGCGCACGAAGTTAGTTTATTTGATCGATAATTTTAGTTATTGTAAAAATCACAGCGCACTTCAGAGGTATAACGACTTAAGCAACCGCTATAAACAAACCGGTTGACAGATCGCACTCATATTTGGCATAGGAATTAAGAACAGTTCTGCCAACTTAGAAAAATACATTTGTTGGAAATATCATTTACCCGGGGATTTTAATTACAATTTTCGGGTGCTCGCTTGTCACATGTAAACAATCCATCCTCATATCTATTTCAGTTCCATAATATGGACTCAACGAAGCTGCAAACAGTTTTAAATATATTTCATTGATATATCTAATAAGTTGGATAAAGAATCTATTCACCGTAGACATGTGCAAGAGGCAAATTTTGATACAATATTCCATACAATTTATTGAATGCCATCAATACTCAAAAATTAGGAAGGCTTTTCCCAAATATTTGCATCGCTTTGAGAATATTTTGCACTTTACCTGTTTCTATTTCCAGTGGTGAATGTCCGTTTAGTGCTTTAGCAAGGATCAAAACAGTAACATCGACTATGCTTGTCACAGGGCAGGATTTCAAAACTACCTATACAGTGCCTAGTAGCAGAATAAGCCAAAAAGTTGGATTTGTAGACAATTATTGACACAATAGCTGCAAAGCACGAAAAACTCAGTTCTAAACTTAATCATAATAAGAAACATCTGCGGGGTTCACCATAGCTCGGCTGGAAATTATCTGAAAAAAAAAAAAAAAAAACAAGAAAACTGAGTCAAAAAATCTAATCTTCTCCCCAACGTTATTTGGTAAATTTTTTTTTTCATGTATACATTTTTGGCGGCCATTTAAAGTGTAAACTGTTATTTGCCACTAAAAAGTCCGCAATTTTGTGGGTGGATGAAAAAGTAGTTTTGAGAAAAAACGCATCTAAAGTTTATGCACTGGTATCCCGACCGCCCGCAGCTGTTAGAGTTAGAGTGTTAAAGTTTAGGAGATTAATAAAACAAAAACTTAAAGAATATTGCTTCTATCGACCTAAATTTTAAGGACATATTCTCGAACTATTAAAAAATAAGACAAGAGAAAAAATATGTATTTTTCGAAAGTAAAAATCTTAAGCCCCCGTAAGCGACTAAGGCGATTTATAATAAATTTTACTAACGATAACAACCACTGCACAATAGTGTAGGCACTTAAAAATTTATTAAGAAGAGGAGCGGTCTTCATTGCAATTTGGAAAAGAAGCCTTTACATTGTCAATAAGAAAAAAAGGAAAATATATAGTACAACATCTGTTTTATACAGGGTGGTGATGAATTTTGCTACATTAAGAAACTCAAATAATTTTTTTTTTTCAGTGTATAGAATTCATTTTTCTTTTATTCATGTTAAAGCTCATTAAATTTTATTAATAATAGCTTAATTAGTTTTAAAAATAATGGAGTTTAAATGCCCCCCCTGCTCTTTGATGCATGTGCGGCATCTTACCAAAAAGTTGTTCATTACTGCTTGGAGAGTTGAGACAGGAATAGCCGCAATTGTTTCTCGAATGGATTGACTTAGTTCATTCAAATTTGTTGGTTTGGCTTTGTAGACTCCTGTTTGCAATAACCCCACAAGAAAAGGTCAGGTGCAGTAAGGTCAGGCGACCTGGGGGGCCAACGGAATGTGGAGTCTCTGGATATCAGCTTATTGGTAAATTTTCGTCGCAATTCTGTCATAACAGGTTGGGCTATGTGAGGAGCTGCACCATCTTGCTGAAAGCACACAGAGTTGAAAGAAATTCTCATTCGGCGTAATTCCGGATAGAAAGACTCTCTCAACATGCTCAAGTACCGGTCCCCAGTAACCGTAACGGTGTGACGTAGAAGTAGGGCCCGACAATGCAGCGTGATGAAACTGCACACCACACTGTGACACGAAGTGGGTGCAATTACGTCTCATGGAGTAACTGTGGGCTGGAAGCACTCCATATTCGACAATTTTGTTTGTTTATGTTGCCTGTTTATGTTGACTGTCCCATGCTGGGCAAAATTGTTAACAAGTCTCATTATGGTACATCTGCTCGGAGGATTGCCGCCAAACGTGTTCCTATTACTCTCTTTGAACCGAAACTACGGACTGCAGTGCATGATAGCGGCGGACAATCCAAATTCTTCTTTCTGTGTCCCAGTTATCCATTTTTGTTAAATGTAAAAGTCAATCTGCACAAAAAAAAAAAAAAAATTAACCAGATTAATTAAATAGAAAAAAAGTTATTTATTTTTTTTTTTTTGGTAGCGGCTTTCATCAGCCACCCTGTACCTTCAGTTAGTAATATTGGTGCACATATGATAAAATTGTTTCCTTTCTACATGTTCAATTATAAAATGGATTTTTTATCCCAAAAACTACGTCCGCTCCGGAAATCAATGTCGATTCAAACAGCACTCACCAATCGGTATGGCAATTTCAAAACTTCTTCGCAAAAAAGCTACATATCAAATATATAGTATGCTATATTCCTCCTAACTTGTAGGTTTTTTCACAATTAGAAAATTTGAAAGCCATAGCATTGCCTTTCATTTTTAATATTTAAGAAAAAAAAATGTTTTTTTTTTTGGAGTTTAATATTTTTAACCCGCACTATATCCACTAGGGTCTGTCGGCTGTTAGCATCCCTTATTCAAAGCAACTCTCTTACAAAAGAGAGCATTCCTAAAAGCACATGGCACAACATTGAGTGGACAGAATCGAACGCGTATTAGGCGTCAGCTGCTCGCTGTACTATTTGACCAAGCGTGAAAACTCTTTGTGTACAACCGCCGCACGCATATTTCACATCAAACATGCACCGCCTCGCCCGCACAAGAAGGTCGGAAGCGCTCGTATTGTCAACAGCAACCCCAGCAATGGCAAACCGACGCTTTTTGCCTACCCAAACAGAAAAGCTGGCAGGCTGGGTGGCGCGTTGCCTGATTCACTCCTACGTGCAAATATCTTTTCGCTTTTCTTCTTCTTCTTTTCTCATAGTATATGTATGTATGTACATATGTCTGCCAGTTGTCGGCCAGAGAATGGTTAGAACCGAATTTTGTGTCGCTCATCGCATCAGTTTTTTGTAGACATTTTTACTTTACGGACGTGTTGGCGGATGCAGGCAAATGCAGAACGTCATTAGCGGAACACGAACGAACCTTTTCCGTTTACCTAATTTCTAGCAAGCAATAGAAAACTGATTTTCTCACGCTTTAATTCATTCAACACGAAAGTAGTGCAAAAAATAAATTTTCGTTTTAATTTTGAAAGAAAGTAATTTTCAAATTATATAAAAGCCAGTGAATTGTGTGTGGAAGAAATGGTGAAAGAGTGAATATTCCCTTGAAGGTAAATGTGCGAAAGTGTAGATATGTATGTTTGTAGTACATGTGAGAATGTGCAAAAAGTGAGTGTCACAATGAAAGCAAGTAAAGTAGAGCTCGGTTGAAGAGCAGTAAAATCGAAAGCGATAGTCCGCAGTGGAATTTGGGACGACGAGGACAGTAACGGAAGGAAATTCGCATTCTGTGTATGTGTACAAAAACAAAAACAAAATCAACAACAACAACAACAATAAGAGTGGCTACCTACGCACTGTGACTGCTGCCAGCGCCTAATTAGTGCATTGGGCGGATACACGATGCAAGCAAAAGTCGTTGCCAACACCAACAACAAGAATTGCCGCAATAACAACACCAACAATGTGAAACTTTAACGAAGTTATTCAGTAAGTGCGTGCGCGTGTGTGTATTGGGCGTCTGTGTGCGCTCTCATGGAAGTGCCAAATAACAAATGCGTTTGCCAAGTGGGCGCGAAGTGTGTGTTGCAAGTACGGCCAATAAAAATTTAAATCGATTTACTTCATTGCGGTGATAAATTTCGTAAATTCAAGCAGGCAATTTGAAGCAGTAACGCATAAATTGTGGTAATTAGTGTTTCTAAAGTAAAGTAAAGCTCGTAAAATAAACAAAAACATAACAAAAATATGTATTGCGTGCTAATTATTGAAATGTGCTTGTGGTAAACGGTAAAAGTGCTAAACAAAGAGTTTCCAATCTGTAGCAAAATGAAAAATTCAAAATAAATGCATACATATGTGTATATTATAAATATGTATGTACCATATATTTCAAAAATATTATGTATTTCTTCATCTGAAATGTATAGCTTTCATTATCATATAGACGAATATTAAAAATTTCTCTAAAAAGTGTTGAAATATAAAAAAAATTTGTTGCGTCCGGGTGAGATTAGTATAATCTTATAACATAGCATTTCACCGGAAACTGTGGCCACAGTGAAAAATATTTACAATAAGGCTTAAACATATGATAAGAAAGGCATCGCCACATATGATGAACTCTTTCAGGCATTATTTGCATTGTGAACTCCTAATTATTATGTTTTAGAACTTCATTCATTCATTCATTCCTCCTTTCCTTCAGTTAAATGTCTCTTGATGCGAATTTCTTAACCATTAAGTGAAAACTATTCAATTTTTAATTTATATTATTTGTACATTTTTTTACCAATAGCCAAAAGTCCTGATTAGAGGTATACACACCTGTCAAACCTTGTCGTTTAAAAAAATTCCTTCGCCGCTAGTTGTCGGCTAACTTTATGCTCAAGGGGAAAAGTCTAGATTGACACCAAAACAAAAAAAAATGTTAACTTGGGTTGCTCCGAAGCACCCTTCACAAATACGAAAGCTTCATTGCAAGAATCAAGAATCGGTTAACTTGTATGACAGCTGTATGCAATAGTTATCTAATCTGTACAATATGTGCGGAAATTTCACCATTGCCTTAAATATAACACAGGGCCAATGCTATGTGATATAATGGTGCAATATCCCCGGTTCTGACAGCAGCTTCTGGTCGTTTGTAAAATTTTAATATCTCAAAAACTGGGTGTCTATTACACGTAACGGGTTTTTCTACAACAGCGCTACTAACAAAAACAAAAACGGTTTGAGATATCAATGAAATTCTTTTCTATTTCTGTGAAACAAATGTACTTTCATGCCATTATGTATGGAGCTCGATTTCTTTAGCAAGTTCAAACGCTGATCCCTGTTTTCAACGGTTGTCAAGCATATATCGGCCAATACTGCTGCAATTTCACATTCAATATTCGTCGCTGAATTTTGGCATAGACCATAGATTTGAAGTAGCTCCACAGAAAATAGTGCAACGGTGTCAAATCGCACTACCGAAGCTTTCAATTGACTGGGCCATAGCTTGGTTTTTAATAATTCAGTTGTGACATTTGCTGTGTGAATTGTGACGCCGTCTTGTTAGAACCACATATTGTCCATACCATACAATTCGGGTCAGAAATATTCGGTTATCATTGAGCGATAGTGATTCTCACTCACAGTAACGTGCCGGTCTTAATCATCATGGAAGAAGTACGGCCCAATGACGCCGCCGGTCCATAAACGCACCAAACCGTAAGTTTTTCGGGATGCAATGGTAACTCATGGAGTACGTGAGAAATTAATCTCACCGCTGAAGATGATTTTTCGATGCAAACCCTGATCATTTTCTAATCAGCCAAATTCACAAACATAATACGATTCTGGTGGCGAAGCGACTTCAGTTCTTTCGTCAATTTAATCTTGTAGGAATGTATGCCAAGATTTTTCTCAAAATTCGCCACAACGACGTCACAGAGATGACCCACGCTTGATAGCGACGTGAGAGAAATTGATTTTGGACTTCCTCAATTGATGCGCTAGTGGACACGAGCACTTCTTTGTCTCACTGGTACGGGAACACTTTGCACGGTGCTGCTTAAGTCGGTACTTCTCAGTGAAATGTTTAAAATGGATAAAAATATTGAACAAGAAATTTGTTTCAAGTTTCGTTTGCGGAATCGTTGTGACCTTCGACCCCTTCAACTGAGGAAAATATTAAAAAAGTGAAAGATATGGTGCTTAAAAATCGTCAGACAAGTTAAAGAGAAGGCGAGAGAGTTTGACATCTCTCACGAGTGCTAGATTGGTGGATAGTTTGGGTATGAAACGCGTTCTTACTCAACTCGTCCCGATAAAGGTGATTTTTTTTCAAAAAGAGAATTAAAGCCAAAAAAGCAATGAATGCCATCGATCCACTACCGTATTCATCAAATATGCCTTCGTGAGATTTTTTCTTGTTCCCCAAATTGAAGTTGTCGAAACGTGGACCCCCCATTTTCAGTCGATGGCGGAGATAAAAAAAATTCGCTGAATTAACTGACGGACATCCCAAAAAGAGTTTCAAATACTGCTAAACATCATTGGCGTTTGAAGTCGCCAAAATAAATATTAAATATTTTGCGTTTTTTTGTTTTATTTATTTTATTTTATAATAATTTATACAATARAATATTTATTATATAAATACATGAAATCGCAGCACTGGCTACTAGGCCTTCAGCTTTGCGTTTTATTATCTCAATGTATAAATGATCTGCTTGATTAACTGAGTCGATGTAACCCTGTCCGTTTGTCCCCTTCTTTATATTTGCCTACTAATCCTTCAGTTTCCAGGTACTACCTGAAATTTTACATACGTCTTTTCTCACCAAAAAGTTGCTTATTTATCGGAGTCACTGATATCGGAAAACTATAGCATAAAGTTGTCATACAAACTGAAATTTCGGAATTAAGTAAATCTTCACAAAATTTGGCATAGATTATTACTTAATACATCGTTACCATCCCCGAACAAATTGTTCAGTTCGGATCAATACAACTTATAGCTACCATTAGGACTAACCGGTCAATATCATGTTCTTAAAGGAATCTCTTGTACTTTTGAAGTGTATTATAGCTTCAACCAAACATATATATATTTTTTTAATGATAAAATAATGTTCTGGCTGTTAAATGTTAATTATTTTTAAATTATTCAATATTCAAAGGTTCAATATCAGACCCTGTTTATATTTTCTCTGCAGCAAGTAAATACTTTTATGTGCTTTAAATCAGCATCATAGACACGTAGCAATTCCCTGGGCAGTGTTAGCCACCTAATAAAATAATTTAATAACAATTGTCACCTTGAAATTTCACTGTGACAGCAATAGCGAGCAAAATTTGTGTAAAATTTAATATGCAATGAGATGCCTGCTTTAATTAAGGTTCATTGCAATGCTTAAGGAAAATGTACTGAAGCATCTATAATAAGTATATAGTATATGCTGTTACGTGTACATATAAATTTCTCAGTCTACCGCTGACAGCACTTTTTCGAAAAATTAAACGTTTTGGCAATGATCAGCACAACGATGGCCATCGCCCTACGCAAAATATTAAAACAAAATACATTTATAGAAGCACATATGTATACATACAAGTGTATGGGCCAGAGCCAACAGCATTTTATATATAAATAATTTTGAGAACACCGAACAAAAAAAGGTCTGCTATAAATATGTATTTAAGTGTGAAAATTATAAACATACAGGTAAATATGTGTGTGTATGATGTGCGCATAGTTTGAATACTCTCTGGGTCAGAATGCGTGTCAGGGTTCTCAGTTTCCCCAATTTTGCAAAAATAAATCAAATAATTTTGAAGTGCAAAATGAAATTAAAGACCATACAATTTTAATTATGAAGCAAGGAAAGCATAACGTAGAAAAAACATACAAATTTATAGGGTTATGTATGTATTTGCTGATAAAATTTGCACAAAAAAAGTTGTGAAAGTGCTTTTAGAACACAACATGTCTGCTGCCCTTAGAGAGCGCGTAAAAGCATTTCTTCTGCGCCATTCGCATAAAGTATATACACACATATACATATATACATATGTATATATATATATATCTATATATATGCAAGTGCTATATATATTTTTAGTGGCTTTAAAACGCTTGCTTTTATGCTAATATTTTTTTATTGCACAGCGTTGACAGACAGACGCGAATGGCTTGTATGGTGATAATAACATTGCCGGGGGCGAATGCGACAAGTAAGAGCAACGTTTGAGTGTTTGCTTGTTGGTCGCTTGGAAAGTACTAGACGGGGCCAGTATATTAAAGGCTTTATAAAGTGTTTCCTTCTGTGATTGCTGCCCTGTAGGAAAAGGCATTGTTTCATAATGAATGGGTGCGTTGTGTCGGTTGAGGAAACTGAATAGACTTGACAATTAATAACTTATTGAGTATATAACTAACATGTTTTGATAACTTAAGTTGAATTGTTGTACGGTTACTGTATGTACTACTATGAGCAAAAAATTCTAAGACTTTTTCCATAATTTTAAAACTGTTGACATATGCTTAAAAAGCTAGGTTGTCTCTCTCAAAGAAATTTCGATTGGCCCCAATATACGTGTGCCAACATCTTTTCCAATTCTC